GCTGGCTCAGAGCCAAGTGCTAAACGCGAGAAATTGGTAAGTTTCTAAGCGTTGTGTCTTGTGATTCGTCGCCTTCGTTCACCCGCGGTAGTAAACCCTTATGTAGCGTCAAGGGCAGCTGAAGGAGAATGATTGTTTATACGCTGTCTATACGAGATGAGCCGCAGGTGCAGTGAGCTTACCGTTTGTGACCTTTTTTTCGTTGAAACTCCTAATAATGCATGGAACCTAATTTACTCTTAAAAATGTAAGGAACTCGTCTGATTTGTCAGAGATAAGCTATGAAGGCCTTTTTATGGTTGGGTTTTCCAAATCTTTGTTAACTCAAGCGAATTGCTGAAGTTGTTGTAGTAACTTGAAATATAGGCTACGTGGTCGGGTTTACTTCCGCTCATGGTGCATGCATATTCTGCTGTTCCATTCACTTACTTTGTTCTGCACTAGCCACAAAACCATAGGTTGAATTGAATTCGGTGGACTAGTGGAAGCTGATTTCGTCAAAAAAGTTCTTCTCTTAAATATGTGTATAGGTTTGAAGTAACACAATAAGTGTGATGGTGTTACTTTATATTCCTTAATTCCTGTGGAATCGTGTAACACTCACTTTCATGTGCAATTTTGTTTGTGCGCTTTCCTAAGGCGACATGTACTCTATGTATTTAAGTGCTATTTGCTATTGGAGCGCTTTTCTTGCTTATTAGGCGAATTTACCTTACAGTCATGTTTTGGATCGTTAACTTAGCTCTATTTGTTCTAGTCTGTTAAACCGTTATGCTTTTTGTTGCTAACAGTTTATGACGTTTTGATCAATAAAATGAAACATATGCGAGTTCGATTCGTTCCAGCAGGTAGGGTCAGTCGCGAATGCTACACTCGCAACCTCTGCCAGCCCCTTCTGCTCCTCCACCACTATTACTTCTGCTGGTACGCTGCCCCCGAAGCCAAGCAAGTGGGACTCGGTTTGGCGGTGGCAGCCAGGAGGGCAGTTCGTGTTTCTCGCTGGACCGCTATTCCGGTGCGTACGGCAACATTCGATTACCTGGCTAATTTTCTCCTATCCATCTTGTTTGTTTCGTTTTGTAAATGTATATATATATATATATATTTAATGAATCGGACTTGTGGGTTGTAGGCGCACATTTGCATGTTCTCTTTCCATTGCTAAGTGCTTTTCCCTTCAGAGCATATGTCGAATTATTCATAGTTAAAACATTGTGGATGTGCCTTATCTAAAGGAAGAAAAAACGCAGTTCTGCGAAGATAATCGCGTGCAATGCGTTAATAGCTGTTATATAGGCAGTAAATTCATACTTACTGCGGTTATGAGAATATATGATATGTTAGGAGCAAGAAACCCTATAAAAGTCATTACTCTCATCTAATTGCACCTTCAAAAGCGACCAGTCTGTTTTACAGCCTTCAAAAAGGAAGAAATTCTTTTCGCTCTGAGATAGCGTAAAAAGGCTTGCAAAGGTTTTTGCAGTTGTGATTTACAGAAGCTGATGAGCTGTTGATTGCAAACTTATTTTTATTGTATGGTTTTTTTTTGTGTTTGGTGGCTTGAGCTGTTCTCTCGATCAACTCTTATCTCGTGTCAAAAGCACAACATCCTCGGGTTGCATACTGTGCTTTTTGTCACAGTTCATCTCGTGAGGCTTATGAGCTCATTTTGATTTTACAGACGCCGTCGAGCTGAGTTGTTACCGCGGGAGACACTCGGTCATCAGATTGGGCGGCGCGCTCTCATTGCTAAAGAGAATGATGCTAGAGTTGCTAGCCAGGTCAAAGCTCTCCTTCATTTCCTCCCACCCATGCCCTCCGAAAATCCGCCTCGTCGAGTTCAACCTCCACCGGTGCAGGCAAGGGCGCTGTGATTTCGTTTCATCTGTTGTTTGCTTTTATTGAACCATAATGAATCTTAAATTTATTTATGATTTAGCACTTCCTTACTTTATTCCTCATTTTCCTTTATTCCTTTATGTGTTTCCTTACTCTCACGTTTGGGACTCCGTTCAGCGCAATAGGCGCAATTTCTCACAATGGCATAAAGTCCATTGCCGATCTATAATTTTAGTGATCTTGGACATAGGATTGTAGATATTTTCTGAATTTCGGCTTTGTCCAAAGCGGTTTTTACTATGAAACGGAAGATTGTTATTCTTCTTTTGTTGTTGTAATGATTTTTAATTTTGTCGTGTAATACTGAATCGAGTACAACATTCTGGTATATGCTCTGCTATTTGCGTGTTGTCAGTTGATGATAAATTTATTTAATCTTAACCAGACCACTCACAGTGTGACTTAAAAATTTTTTAGAGCT